ACCGAATAAATATTAATATTTTTATTTAGAAACATCTAAACCTTAAACACCAAAACCTTAAAAAAAACTTAAAAAGTATTTTAATATCCTCACTAAATCTTAGTTATCACCAATCTTGCTTTTACATTTAAGTAAATGAACTAAAATTATATGATTTAGTCTAGCTAGCTTGGTGTAAGGATAAATTTTGATGTTATTATTTTGCTATATGAATAATCAGGTTGATATTGGACCTGGATTATAGGGACAATCATCTAGAGCTCATAATCAAGAGGGAGTTGTTGTTTTTAAATAAAATTATATAATTGTGTTGTTATCTTTATATTATTGTAAAAAAAATTTAAAATTATCATCTCTTATATATTTATTTTTTATATTCAAATATAAAATGATATGATTATAATATCTTGTTATCTTTATTGTTAATTTTTATGTATTGCATTTATAAAATGGTAGAATATGTTTTTGATCACTCTAAAATTTTTAAAATTTGGTTATAGTTTTTTAATTTATTTTTGTCCTTCTAATTTGGAGATGCATTACTTTTCATCCTTATTATTTATATAATACTTTATGATAAACAATAGTATAAAAGTAAATTGAATAAAAAAAATATTATATCTATTTATTTAATATAATAAAACATGTTATTTTCAATTAAAAATTTAATGTATTGTTTGCCCTATAAACTTTTTTGAAATATTTAATTAGGTTTATAAAAAAAAAATTGTAATCGAGTCATTCATCCTCTTTTTATTTTTTTTTTAATTTAGTCCTTAAGACTAAATGTCTGTTTACATTTCATAAAATATGACTTTTTTAATATATTTATATTTGCAGAGTCACTTTAGATTATTGTTTCATATATTATTGTATATGTCTAATAGATTTTAATCTACCTATAAATTTTTTTACAATCTCTTTAATCATAACAATGCTAGAATAGTAAGAAATTTTAACCAGTAAAAATTTAATATACATGAATGAAGACATTGAATAATAATTTAATATAATTATTTAAATACAATCAAATAAAAAATATTAAATATCATAAATTATAAATAATTTTATAATCATAGGAACTAAATTATAAAAAAAATAAAAGACTATGTTTGCTTCATTATGAATAAAAGACTAAATTATAATTTTTTTCAAAATTTAAGATCTAATTAAAATTTAATTTTTAAATAAAATAATATATTAAATCTTAATTATATATGTATGTATTTTTACATTATAAATATTTATATTTTAAATTATGTAAATATAATAGTCTATATTTATTATTTGGTTAATATGTGATCCTATATGGTATGTTTTGCTATAGAAATAGGTAGCAGAACGGGCCCATGACCTTTGTCTCCGGCACCCCCAAGCTGCCGCTCCAAAGACGGAATAACATTTAACACCAAATGGAGAAATGTCATGTTCCTGTGGTTTCCTCAAATTGCTTCAACCCACAGATTACGATTACAAGGAATATTTCTTTTCCTTATTAAGTACACGTATATTCAATTAAAATTAAAAAAAAAAAAGAGTAAATGGATAACATAAATATTTATATATATAAATTATATTATAATTAAAATTTGTAATACACAATATTCATGATGTAATAGAAAAATCAATTTTAATTTTCCAAGTAAAAAATAAAATAAAAATATTTATTATTAAATTATTTCCATCTAATTCACGTTTTCTAATTCCTATAAGAAAACACATATTTTATTAAGTTTTATTATTTTGATAATATTGTAAATCACACTGCTATTTTATTTCATTATTTAGAATCCATCGGAAAATAAAATGTAATTTTTTTAATTATTAAGTAATTTTATAGTCTTTAAAATTTTAATTAGATAACAATTAGATATAGTATAAAAATATTTAAATAATTTTTAGTCTCTGTAAGATAAGATGTTTTTGCTTTTAGTCCTTTATATATTTTTTTGTTCCTATAAAAGAATTTGTTTTATTTTCGTCCTTATTATTTCATTTTAGTTATTGCAATACATTCATTCTTTTCTTTTAGTTTTTGTAATATGTCAATAATTTGCCTTTAATTCCAACTAGTTTTTTTTTTTAAAAAAGGGAGTAACTAAAAAAGGTCAAAACATTATAGGATCTATTTTTTTATAATAAAAAAAAAAGATATATAGTAAAGACTAAAATAAAATAACAAGGACAAAAATGAAAAAAAAATTATAAGAACGAAAATGAAAAAAAAATTTAAAAAGACTAAAAGCAAAAACATCTTATTTCAATAGATTAAAAAGTTACTTAAGTCGCTGGATGATGTTTACATTACGGGTGTATTAATTAAATTATTGTTATTTTATATTAATTTTATCATCTTACAAGAGTTAAAGATTGTTTTGTTAATGATCGATCATATTAAATAAGAGAAAAATATAAAGTAATTATAAATTGTATAATTTCTTAAAATAAATTTATATAACACATAATCAAGTGTTATTATTATTATTTTATAAATTAAAAAAAACTATATATTACATAGAGATCCCATGAGACTATAAATACTTAATAGTATTCAATATAAATTTTCTTTAGTAGGGGTTTGCTTTCTATTTGAGCTCTGTTCTTCACCCAACTTGCTAATTTGATATGAGACCTTATCGAAAGGATACAAATTTTTTTACTTATACTACTACCATGTTGGTTTATAAGAGTTAAGATTAAAAAAAACTTGTAATCATTTATGTAGGATTTCTTAAACTTTAGTTTATGCCTGTTGTTATATTATTTATTCTTACGATGAAATTAAAGATATAGACATGATGAAAGAGGGAGTAAATTTGAGGCACCAAATGAAACTGTCGAACCCAAGCATGGCACTTGGTTGGTGAGAAACCTTTCCCGTGTGGAATGTGATTGTTGATATGGATAATCTCAATGGCATTGTTGGACGCAACACGCCACATAACCTTTCCTATAAAATCAGTCGATTTTCGATGGAATTGAGAAACCAACCACCGTCCATTTGTCTTTTTTTTTTTCTTTTTCATTTATGTACTTGCTTACCAATGGGAATTAACGCTAATTTGTCGCCTAGCATGGCTCCTAATTGTCCCCTCTCTTACCCTAGCAATGAATTACTTCTTGCTTAAAATTGAAACAACCCCATTTGCTTTGTTTGAACTTAAAGGGTCCCTCCATAGAAACCGGTGCATCCTTGACCACATCTTGTCTCTTCCACCCCTAGATTTTCATATGGCTGGATATTATCAACATTATCATATTATTTTGTTCTTTGAATACAATAAAGAAACAGTCAAGTACCAACTGCAAGTGGATGAACTATAAGATTCGAGTGCGAATAGGAGATAAGGCCCGCCATGTCAGCATCGCCATCCACAATCTCGCTTCAGATAAACCCTAGTGCGCTATCAATAATATAATAACCAATTCGTGTTAATGATAAGTCATAAACCTTTCACAAATATTATATTATATATTTCTTCATTATCACTCACTTAAATATTTTAGTAACCACACATTGACACATTTTCCACTTCTAACTCCAAACGAGTAAACTCAACCCTCAAACTAGCCAGAACGAGTATATAGTTTGTCATTTGTGCATCGATCATACTAACATTTTCAAATTTTAATTTATTGAATATTCTAGTCAACGAGATTTTTTTTTGGTGTATGTAGCATATATGTAATGTTTAACTTTTCAATAATATTTAAATATTACCCCCAAACACAAAATAAAATATAGTATAAATTATATATTCAAACTATTCCTTTATTATAAATTTTAATTATATAAGATAATTATTTATTTTATGGCATACAAGTATATTAAAAGTGGTGTAACATCATTTTTATTGATATTCCCTAAGAAGCTTCATAAATTTCAATCATTAATCTGAGTGCTTATCCAAATTCTTTCATTTCAGTACTTATTAGACCCCAAGTTACATCGAGCAAACATTAACCTAGATATCAAAGTGGTTTTCCTTGGGCAAATTGTTTAGCTACGGATAAAGAAATAATTAAATGTCACCATCCTATTCTCTCCCATATATATGTCGCTTACCTTCTATATACAAAAGAAGCCATTACAAAATTCTGTAACACACAGAATTCAAAAACTGCAACAGCGGAATCTATGTTCGATAAACAATTACTAGTTCTACTTCATACAAAATAGAATGCCAAAAAAAGCTCTCAATCCCCTAAATATTTTTAATGATCTGAAAAATCCAAACCAGATAAAATTGACATCAGCTTTAAAAAAAATGTAGGAAAGAACCCAGAACGAGAGTACTTGAAGAATCTAAACTTGGCAACGATTTATCATACATAAATTAATAAGCGGAAAATGAGCAACTAATTGCATTAGTAAAATGAGAAAGTGATTAATTTGGCTTCCAAGTTAAACCAATTTTTGCTTCTAAGTCTCAAATAAAAAATATACTTATGTTACGTTACATTATTGCTCTGCACAAAAAAAAAAAACAAACATTCTTCAAATTAACACCAAAATAAACAATTGATACAATGAAATGACACCCAATATTTGGCAGCCGGTACAAAAGGTAAAAAAAAAGAAAAAAAAGTCAGAATGAAGAAATTAGAAAACAGAGAGAGGCATGCAGATGCAGCTCTAGCATGTTCTCAACTACGTACACAGAATATTTATTTAATTTTATTCCATCCCATTGCATTGTACAACTTAACTATACAAATCCGGAAATTGATTATCTTGGAGTTCATGACTGATCACGAGCTGAGGTTCGAATAGAATTCTCCATACTAAGTTTAGCATAGATTCTGGCTCTAATGTCCCTGCCCGACTCCACCCTCTCCATAGGAGGCTCTTCGTGGCAGTCATTGACGGTCCATAAGGCGGCACGTGGGGAGCGAAAGACGGCACGTGTGAAAGAGTGGTGACGTTGGACATT